AATTTGGGCTGTATATTTTTTTTTTTTTAATAATCTGGGCTTGGGCAAGGGTGTTCAAATTCTTAAAACAAAAAATTGTTATTTGTTAATCTATTTAGAAAAAAATAAAATAAATTGATTTATCCAAAAAAAAAAAAAAATTCGATTCTTGATCTAGAATCGAGAACCGAACCAAACTCATCGGTTCTCGATTCAAATACCCGTTCGGGTTTTAAATTTAGAAAAACTCGTTCGGTTCGATTCGGACATTTTGTCCAACCCTAATGCTATGTGTACAATAATGTACACGCAGCCTTACACCCCCTCACATGGTGGGGGCCACATTTGTGAGCCCCCTTTCCATGTGAAGAGATGTAAGGCCATGTGTTTACTATGTGTACAGGTAGCATTATTCTAATTCAATTAACTGTACCTTAGCATTAACTCTTTCCCCCCCCTTCCTCCCTCCTCTGTCTGAAAACTGATAATAAAAAGAAACGATACGCTCGAAGTATCCCGCGATTGAACACAATCAAGAACCCATTTTTTCGATTGGATCCAACGGTAGGAATTTAAATTCCGAAATTCCAACGGTTACATGGCTCATTGGATCTCTTCCAAGCTCAAAGCTGCTGAAACTCTCCTCCATCAGGTAAATCTCCAATATTTTTCTCTTTCTCGAATGATTTCTGTTGTTTTTTGGTTTTTTGGTTTCTCGTATTCAGGTGATTTGTTATGTTACTTATGTAGAAGTTTAATTCTGGCATTGTAATCAATTGTGCACAAAATTGGATTATTTATGTGAATTTTGTATTGGATGGTAAAGATAGATCAGCAAGCTGCAGAATCACTGGGTAAGAATGAAAAGCCGCGATCCGATGAACAATTTGGTCTTGAAACCTCGCCAAGAACGGCGCAGACTAGGTCGTTGAATAAGGAGAAGCTCAAAAAGAAGGTGCCAGAAAATGTCAGTGAGAAACATGATTTAAAGGTAATTAGTCGCAGTGATAGTAGTATTAAACGGGATAATGATGTTATGCTATCGCTGAATATGAACTCTAAGTCAAATTCAAGTAGCAGACATAATGATATTGATTGGACGGAATTATTGAGAGTGCAGAATAAGAACGTGGCATCTAGGGGTGAGATTGGGAGTCAGAGTAGCATTGGAGCGTTAGGGATTAGAGGTTTGAAGAAAGATGGTAAGAAACAGGGGAGATCGGGCTTGAAGGCACTAGAGGGGATAAGGACAGAGAAGGATCGGAATAATGGTGTTCTGAAGAGTTCAAGAAAATCTAATGTTGAGTTGGAGAATAACGCAAATGGTGGTGGTAGTTCGGATAGTGGGAGGGCAAGTGACGTTGGAGGTGTGATGCCAAGAAATTCGATTACTGAGTTGCAGAGTGATGGAGGTGAATCAGTTCGAGAGGACACGAGTGATGCATTTGTACCTGATAACAAGAATGAGGCAAATAAAGGAAAAAATGAAGAGGTGAATGGCATTGGAGATGGAGAAAATCTACGTCCTACAGATGGTTTGACAAATGACAATTGTCCCATGGAGATGGTCCCGGCTTCTCTTGATAGGAAATCAGATATGAAGTTTCAATTAAAGGATGGCGAGAGGTTTAAGAGCGCAATGTTAAAGAACAATAAGACGAAAGTAGTTTCCAGAAGTTCAAGTTCTATGAAGAAGGGTTCTTCCCTAAGTAATGGTGAGTCTGATTCTGAGACAGATTCAACTTCGTCTTCAGATTCAGAGAGAGAACGAGAGAGGGCAGAAAGAATAAAGAGAAGGCAGCAGGTTCTGGCAGAAAAGGCAGCTGCCAAAACAGCTGAGGCTATCAAAGATCGAGAGAATCAGGTTGCTAAATTGCAAGGGGAGAAACAGAGTTTAGAGAAAATACTTGAAGAGCATGCCAAACAGCAAGTACAAGAGGTCAGTACTTCAGGGCTATTCCACGTTATTTTGATATACTGTTATTGAAATAATTATTACAATGATTAATAAAGTTACTTCAAAACCATGTCATTTTATTCGCTGGTGTAAACTCATTGTAAGTATTCTATGCTATAGCTATTTCTTGAGACTTGACAATGGGTTTTCCCTCAAGACATGCAGATGTATTTAATTATATAGGAGATAGCTGGTCTTTTTTTATTTTTTTAAGTCTATGTTTATGCATTGTTGTAAAATGAGTTCTTGCATTTTTTTTTTATTTTTTATTTGTGACTATATTGTTATCTAGATGAAGCCAAACAAGGAATATTCATTTGTTACTGAGAAAAGTGCATATTTAGAGATAAAATACAAGTTGTGCTAGAGCAAGTGAACGAAGATGGTTACTCTTAATATTATGTGATACATAAGTACAGAAAGGTTTAGGGCCTGAAGATGTTTGGGACTTAGTTATCCTCCATGAGTAACAAGCTTAATTTCTCCACTCTTTTCACTTGTTCCATTCTTAACACCAGTGTTATGGACTGTGCTACAATAGTTTGTCTTACTAAATTGTTTATGATTTAATGATGTAGGTATTCCTTATAATACTAATCATAGGAATTGTTCTCTAAGTTAAACATGCTTACCAGTTGTTATATTCTCTGTTCAACTAGGAGCTTCTTGTTTGCGAATCTTTTACCCATTTTTGTTCCTAAGTTATAAACACTTTCTATCGTCATCCATCTTTCCTGCTCATTCTTCTGTTTGTTGAATTGATTTATTTCCTTGATTTGTTGTTATAATACCTTTAGTTGCTATGCCTTTGTAATACCAATTCCACAGTCAACACTTGATGGTAATTTTTCCAGGCTTCAGAATTGCAGACAACAGTGATGGAGATTATGGAAGCTGCTGATTTAGAGAAGCAGAAACATAATAATACTCGAATGGAAGCACTTGTGAGATTGTCAAAACTTGAGGTAGTTCTGTGATTTCTTTAATTAGATTTAAGCTTTAGCTTTATAGTTGACATCTTATCAGGTTTTAATTTTTAACCTTTATTCGTTATTGTTGTTTTTAGTCTTATTATTATTATGGATAACAGTGTGTTTTCTCATTGCTTTCTGTATTTTGCAGACTGTGAATGCTTACCTTGCTAGGTCTCTTGCTGCTGCACAGAAAAATCTTGAAGTAGAGGTACCTGAAAACTTCTTTAGTTGGTTTTTGTGTCGCTTTTTTCTTTGTTCTCTCTTCCCCACCCTTTTTGGTTTCTTGTCTTTCTTTTTACTTTTCCAGTGATTGTTAAATGATCCATGAATACCTTGAGAAAACTCTAGACTAAAGGAGGAGCTGGATCTCTTTAATTATGTTTCTTTTGCTCATGCTTGTTTTAAATTTTTGCTCAGTAGTTAAGTCTCATCAAGCGAGTAATTTATCAGCACATTAGGAAGTTAGTGTTAGTTGTTCAATTATGTTTCACAATCAACCTTGTGAAATGCATGAACTGAAATTGTACAATGGCTTCTATGTGCTAGCGTGATAGCAAATTGATTTACTCATGATTTTGTGCATGGGTGGACCAGGTTGATCTTATCGCTGAATTTCGTCAAAAGATTCAGTTGAAAGAAGGAACTCATGAAGGTGTGCTTTATGTATCTTAAGTGGGAAGTAACTTTAGTTTCTGTGTGTCTCTTTTTATTTCTTGCAGTGCGTGCGCCTATGTATCCATGCCAGAATGACTTGTCTGAATGTGCCCTTGGTAACCTAGAGGCTTGTCACTCCAAAGAACTTGCAGTATTGTACATCAAATCTTGTTTCTTGGCCAGAGACCATTTAATTTTCTTTTTCCAATTTTCGTGCACTTCATATCTACTGCACAGAGCTGTTGTGTTTTTATTTTTTTTCTAAGGATTCCACATTTTTGGGTTTTTTTACATCCCCGAAGTTTAGTATTGAACTTCATATGAGAAATATTATATTTAATTATTGAATACTCGATATGCACATGCAAAATACTGTGATTAATCATCCACTAAGGCTCCGTTTGTCTCCCATTATTTTAAAACATTGTTTGCTACAGTAAAAATCTCCACACATTTACCCAATAAAAATATTCTACACACAAACCAATAAAGTTACTTTAAATTTTGACAACACATTCTTCAAAAAATATTATTCATTACTCTATTTCTTCTACAATAATGGGAGACAAACACACACGAAATAAGTACACAATTGCACCATTTTTAGCATTCAATTGTATTGCAGTTCAAGAACATTGTCATTAATGTGGAAACCCTGAAAGATTTGTTGAGCCTTTTCATCTATGTTTTGACATATTTAACTTTGTGGAGCAAAGAAACAATTTTTATTGACAAACAAAGCTTAGTTACTAAGATATATTGTTTCCTCTTGTAGAATTGAGAAGGAAAATATCAGCTATGAGCCAAAATGGGGACAACGTGAGCATCTTTTGCTTCTTCGTTTAGTCAGAATATTCCTTATATCTTCTCAACTAATTTTCCATGAAAATGGCTTGTAGCTGGTAGCTTCAAAAGGTGTCGAATTTGAAAAGAAGATGCTTGAAGCAGAGTATTCCTCTGTAACTGATAAAGTGCAACACTTGCAAGAAAAGGTGACATACTTCCTTTTTCTATGGAACAGTGTTGGTATATTTGATGCTGTCCCGAAATTTTATGATACAATGTTTGACAAACTGTCATATATCTTGTACGGTGTATTGCAAAATAAAAATTAGAATGTGCTTCTTAATCTGGCTTATATTTTGAACATTAGGATTATCATGGTGTTGTTTCTATCATTTATCAGGAGGATATATGTTGGGTATTCCTATTAATAAAGACGTTTTCAATCTTGAAATTGTATTTAACCCGTTCAATTTTGTAATATTTATAAGATGGATGAATAAATGCATGTGTAAGATTTGTAGATGAGAAGGGTATAATATTCCATCCCTTAGAGAAGTCTCTTTGTGACCCAATAAATCCATGTCTACATTAAAGCCAAAACTTGTATATGAAATTGCAGTATTGGACAGTACTGCACTAGACAATATGCTTTATTTTAACTTACTTTTCTACCTCAATCTTGTATCGTGTTGTCCTGTCCAGACAGTCCAGCCTACAAATATACCAATATGATGTCATGTAACTAAGTAAAGAATTTCACTTGTTGATTCAACTAAATCACATTAATTTGGTTGCTCATTATTGGCTCATATTCTTGTATGAAAGATTTCAGTGAATTGTACGAGGTATTTGTTGCAAGCATTTCTCTTGTGGCTGCCCACTCATTGTTTCCTTTCCCTTGCTTCCCCAAGCCGATCACTAAACCAACAATACTTTCAGCATTTTATTTAATCTGCAGTTATCAGAAACTAATTTTCTTGACTCATGCAGACAAAGACACTGGAAACAAACATGGAAACAACCCAAATGGAAATCGAGAATCCAACTGCAGTGGAAATTCAGCTCAGGCAAAGGCTTGATCAGTTGACTGACCATTTGATTCAGAAGCAAGCACAGGTTTGTTTTCTATTATTGATCTCTAAGTTGCAGATGATTAGTATTTAGGAAATTTATTCTTGGCATGCTGTGATCTCATACATTTATCTAAAAAGAATTCTGTCATGTTTCAAATTCCAGCTAACAAAAGGAGATTAAGGGCATCTTTGTCCTTGCTTAAAAGTACGTATAATGTGTTTTCAAACATGTTTGGATAAGTTGCTGTGAAAATAACTCTGACTTTACTAACAAAATAATAAACTTAGTTCCAATTTTGATCAATTAAAGAAATACTTATTTACTCAAAAGTACACCTTTTATGCTTAGCCAACCATGTTGAACTGAGTTTATGTATGAACTTCGCCATCGAAAATTCCATTTTTGAATTTAATTGGTTGAACAAGCAACTTTTGGTCTTTTATCAGGTTGAGGCACTATCCTCAGAGAAGGCTACGCTGCTTTTCAGAATTGAGGTAAATCTCTATATCAGCATTCAAATCAATACAATGATGCCAAATACTGTTGTGAATTGTCAACTGAGTGTCGAATATTATTTTTTTCTGGATGTTTGGGTTAAATGTCTTAGGCAGTTTCAAGGTTACTGGATGGAAACAAGTCGATTATGGATTCAGCTGATTTTCCCAGTACCTCTTCAAGAGAAGATCTAGAATCCGGTGTGTGGGAACACGCTAATTCGAAGTTCAGGCCTTCATTTAAACAGAAAATTCGATCCGGGCAGCAACATTTGGGATTATTGATTCGACAGTTGGATTTAATCTTTTCTTCTGGTGTCATCTTTTTAAGAAGGAACACAACTGCTAGGATTTGGTCCGCTGTCTACTTTATATGCCTTCATTTATGGGTGTTGTACATTCTAATATCCCATTCTCCAGTCTCAGATGATAGTAAATCTGGTGCTGTTGTTTCCCTGGAGAATATCAACAATACTGGAGGTGTCTAATTTGTTTCATGTGTTACAGATTAATTTCACCCTATTTTTGCAAGGGTTCTTTGTTACCTAATGTATGTATAGAAACGTCTCGTCACCGAGAAAAGTTCACTCATTTTGCATGTTATTAGTTGTAGGTTTTGCTCAAGTGCATTGTACATATAGATATAGATTTAGCAATAAGCCAAACAGGGGGGTGAAAAAGGATTCCATGTAACCATCAAAAATTTTAGTGAGAACATTATTGTATTATGCAAACTGAAGATGCTTCAGTATATGCTGATGCTAAAATTGAAGATCTTATTTTCGATATTATGCATTGAGATGTGTTGTTTCCATTCCCTTGGCTATTTACCATTTGGAATTTTTTACACATTTAATATAGTGTAATGTGATGTCATCGAGGTATCAAAGTCACCTCAAATGGTCAAAACTGAACTTCAATAAGATAGATTTCACTTTGGTTACTTATACCGCTGGACATTAGTAACTTCGATATGTGAAAATGAGTTATTCTAATATTGTAGCGGATTTTCGTGTCCAAGTTAGCCTTTTCATCTGCGCTGTCAAATTTTCTGTTCGTATATTTTGACACGAATGGAATTTAAACAAAAATACAACATATCCAACTAAGTTCGAACAAAAATACATGCAAGTTATCGTACTGAAACTTCACTATAAGTTGGGTAAAAGTTGAGGGAAGATATCGCTTCAATATATGCACGTAAAAATTTAGCAAAATAAAAGATTTTAAGGGAGAAAATGGTGTCAATTCACAGGAGCATAACATTCCTGAAGCTACATTAGAGTTTCCTAATTGGCACACAGTACATACGGAATAGGGATATTCACATTCAATTCAAGCTTTAAAGATTCATCTAAAATGAAAACAAAGAAACTAATCATAGTTTCCATTTCCTCTTAAGAATCTACACTTCAATTGTCAACTAGTGCTTAATTCTCTATTGTGGTTGTTGGTTCTGAACGTTTGGCAGTGCATCAACATCCATTGTTGACAACATTTCAAGCTCTAGTAATGCAGCAACTGCAGTTTCTCCACTTAAGCATGGCTTTATCGTGTTCACAGTATGCCTGATTCTTGATTGCTGACAATAAAATTTGAACACACACATCCATTAGCACATCACCACCAAATCCATTAGAGAAGTATAGAGACACACAAACAAGTTACGTCACTCACCAGATACGCAAGTTTGCCTTTAAGATCTTGAGTAACCTCTTCGGAGTACGGAATTTGAATTGCTGTTGCTGATGGATTCTAGTACCATACATGCCAATGCAAATTATGAATTGGTTCAGTATAATACATAACTGCGTATTAAACAAACTTCGAGTTTGAAAACAACAATTAGGTAGGAGGCAAATTGATTTTTTTATGACTATTAAGTGAAAAGAGTTGCTTATTTTTAAAGTAACTCTATCCATACTGTCAAAATAAGTACTTATTTCCAAGTTTCACCATTAAAAAAAAAAAATTAAAACTACTTTTTACTTACATACATAAAACTAATTATTTAACTTATCAAACATAGCCACACATGCTCTTAACCACTATTCCTCACATACCTCTGAATGCCCTAAGCTTATAAATGAAATAAATAACAATATAAGCACATGGAATCCACCAAACAATCAAAGAGGGAAAGTGTTGCAAATGTCACAGGGTTAAGTATTATTACATTTTGCAGAAGATTATTCTGTCCACAGCCAGTCAACCAAAATAAGGATCCTAAATTGCACTAGCAATAGGTCTTGCATTGTATTATTAATTACAGAACAGGATAAAAGTTTCATACGTCAATGTAGCAAAGATTTCGTTTTCAAATTAAAATTATTATCATGATGATGATGTGATAGTAATGAAAAAGAGTATCTGGCTAAAATTAATAGACTAACTCATAGTGGAACTTCAGCATAATAAACAGTGCGATAATAAATTTAAATTTAATTAAAGTGACTCCGAAGATGATAGCAAATATATAAGACATTCGCACTATAACAAAGCAACTTGGCAAATAGTCCCTGCTACAGAAGTTTTAAACCAAGCTCTGCCCTTCAAAACGACAGACTTTAAAGGTCAGAAAGCAACCTATTGGATGTGCTATGCAAATGTTCCAATTTAAGTTTTTTCAAGTTATAATTACCAATGAACCTTGAAGGGTTGCTCAATTGGTCAGGCCTTGGGTTTGCTCCCCAATGGTCATCAATTCGAGTCCCCTCAGGTGAGTACCCGGCCGTAAACTTCAAGCCCCGTGGAATTAGTCGAGGTGCGCGCAAGTTGGCCCGGACATCCACGGTTATAAAAAAAAAAAAGTTATAATTACCAATGTAAGAAGCATAGACACTTCAACTGGAAAATTTGTAGTGTTCCGAAACACGTAGAAACCAAAATTATTCGCCAAGGGTCCTCTCTCTTATATTAAAAGCATATTTGGCCATGCTTAAGAAGTTCATTTATAAGTTTACTTTTAAGTAAATTACGGTTTAAATAAGGAAAGAAGTTAATTATTTTGCTTCAAAAATTTAACTTATAGTTAAAAGTAAGAAAAATGTAATGCATTCCAAACATGTTTGAAAATAAAAAGATAACTCAGAAAACATGCTCCACGCACATTATTTCAGAACAGAAAACTTCATCTCAGACACATGTCAAAAACACCATCCAAAACAAGAGTAATCAATCACTTCAGAAGTAATGAAAGTTGGAAATCGTGCTTTAAAACACTAATACAACGCAGAAATTCATAAAATGTAATCATTTCAAAACTTGAAAGTTAACTAGATGAAGTGTATTACACATATGTCGCCTAAAGTACTTGTGGCCATGTATCCAACATTCACACTATCAAGTCTAGTCCATTATTTCATAACAGCAATCTGCACCTCAGAAACTTATCCAACAGTTTCTTAACACGATCAAACATTTAGCAACAAGAGAAATACAGAACATGAATTCACACAATCAATTCACTTCAAAACAAGAGTAACACTGTGATCACGTGTACTACGGGATGCACGATGGATAGGCGAGAGGAATTATCTCATCATTTAACAAATGCTGCACTTACATTAGGCTCGTGGTCATTGAAAACATTTGTACAAGTGTGTATAATCGTATGTCCAATGGACGATCTGAAAGCACTAGTTGCATGCATATGCTAAGACGTGCATTTTCAATGGCCAATCTATAATTCTTTTTTTACTAATGAAATAGAAAGTCTGACTAGTCTAAGTGAAGATATCCTTAGGGACATCTTGGAAGACTTGCCATAACCTAGACATTAACTTTAGGTGGAAGCATAGTAAATATTTCGGAAGCTATTTTCATCGATTGTCTCGATTTCCTTTCCACAGTTACTACTTTTTAATTAGATAATATTCCATTCGGTTGGTTTGGTAGCTTTCCTTCTTTATCATGTTCTTCATCAATGAGAACAAAGAGGAACAACCTGCTTAGTCAATTGGTTATTTGATCATTAAAATAGTCTTTTTACTATTTTGTTAATGTTATTAAAAGCGTAGTCGCTGTTTTGTTACTAATATTATTTGTGTTAAAAGAAAAGAGAATCAAAACAGTGTCGAAGAAAAAAAAGAAAAAAGGTCCCCAAAAAATATATTGTTCTTCTACAGTTGCAAATTGCTTCTCAGTTCACGACAAGTCTTCCAGCCCACCTCAGAAAGCAGTCCAGTCAAGCGGTAGCCAACAAACCGTTGATAACCCTGTTCTTTCTTCTTCCTCCTTGTCTCGTTCTTTCTTCTTCCTCCTTGTCTCTCTTCTCTCTTTCCAACTTGTTTCTTCTATAACGCCTCGAAAATTTAAGAATAAAATTTTATTTGTTTTATATAGTATATTTTTAATATTTTGAAAAATAAAAAGAGGACTAGAATGAAATATGTTTTAAATTTCTATCTTATTTGAGCCAAATAATTATGTATCGATAGAGTGATAAATGTTGATTTTGATAATGATAATCTTTTTGTAATTTGAATAGAGTTTGATTGCAATCTTAATTTGATAAAGTTTAAAAGTAATCATAATTTTATTTTTTGAAATCAATTATTATCTAAATTCCTTATATACATCGTTTTAAATTCTAGTTGTATACAAACTCAATTAAAAATTTCATCTATATACCGTAAGAATTCTCATTATTTCACCACAAAAAATAAAGAGAGCCACAGTAGAAAGAGAATGAGAGAAAAAAGTAAAGAAAATACGTACAAAATTTTATTCTTTTCAGTCTTTCAAAATCAAGGTAAGATATTTTTGTACAAGTGATTTGTTTTTTTATATTTTTATATTCAGTAATTTATGCATGAATTTTCAGTGGACCTTCGGGTTCTTTATTAAGAAATATGAAATCCTACGGGAATTTAAGATGACCTAAGATGGGTGCGTCGCTTGGTCATTGATATACTTCATAAAAGAAGAGTGGTATGGAGTGTTTATTTTATTGTTATAAAATTGTGCAAGGGAACTGCATGTATCTTATTGGGTATTTTTAAATACTCATTCTTACAAAATTTTATAGGTTAATTTGGGTCGATTGGGACTGTGATAGGATGGTGATGAGGACTGTCATGAGGAATTGAAGAAATAAAAACAAAGTTTTTCCTTTAATTTATTAGTTAGTTTTAATTGTTCAAAAACTCATTATTTAATTAGTGATTATGTTATTTTCTTAACGATACAATTTCCATGTTTAGTTTAAATTTATGGATATTCCAGTTATAGTTTTTATTAAAGAATATGATTTTATCGTTTCGCCTTTGATACAAAGAAAATTGAATTTTTGGTAACACTTCAAGATTTCTGAAATTTTGGGGTGTTACATCTTCTCTCTATTATATGTTCTATACGGTGGGCTGCATCACTATGGTTCACATTAAAATGTCCTACAAATAAAAAGCTCGCAAGCACTTCAAACAATTTAGTCTATATTTTTTAATTGAAGGTCCTCATTTTGTTTGTTTACTAAATTTAGAGGATTTTTATCTAAAAGGGAACAAAAAACTTCATTCAAAGGAATAAGATTTTAGTGTATATCCTCGATTGGTTACTTCAAGTGGCTAAATATTAAACATGTCATTGGTACTTAAAGCATAATTACTTGAAGAAGATTAAACAAAAGAACATGACAAAAATAGATAAATCACACTCCAGAGGACTCGAGTCTCAAACAAATACGAGAAATACTAATGAGAATATACGAAAAAATATAAAATGTCTAAAAATAGCAGGCATTAACATTTTGCTTCAATGCAATCAAAAAAGGCCAAAAAGATGTACAAGACAATTTTCAACTAGTACAGTTCTCATTCGTAGGGTATCTTCTCAAGGTCAAGGTAAAACTTTAAATTGATACTCAATGTCGGTGCAATAGATCATTCAATTCTCAAGAATGTGAGACCCATGAATGAAAGGAGTTTATTTTTAAGCTAAAAGAACGTATCGGTACCAAACCCAATGCTTCCTATCTTGGTACCGATACGTTCTTTTAGCTTAAAAATAAACTCCTTTCATTCATGGGTCTCACATTCTTGAGAATTGAATGATCTATTGCACCGACATATATATATATATATATTACCCACAATAACGTATTGTGTTGCTTGCATATAGATATTTGTAATGATTGATTATTAATAGTCCAGGAAAAATGGTTTGACATTCTCACATCGCTAGATATTGTCGAAGACGAACATAGACAAGTTCAATTAATGAACCCTAGGAGATAATAGCCAACAAGAAAATTATCGATTTGAAATCGCCATCATATGTGTAGTTTGTTAGTTTTAAGTAAGGTCTGTGCAACGACAGTAACATAGATGAGAGAGAAATTTTGAAAGGATTGATGATAAAGCAGGAACAGAGACATTATATGTTTGTCGGCTATTATTGGTTAAGACCTCGGGTTTGCTCCCCAATGGTCACCAATTCGAATCCCCTCAGGGCCAGTAAGGTAAGTACTCAACCGTAAACTTCAGGGCCCCGTGAGATTAGTCAAGGTGCATGCAAACTAGCCCGACATCCACGGTTATTAAAAAAAAAATGTTTGTCGGCTATTGAAATAAACTCAATTAAGTCTATTTAAGCTTTGATACCATGCAAAAAAAAGAAATCTAAAAATTAATAAGTTAATCACTGCACATAATTATCAGGTTGATGTAGTACATAATCATGATTAGTAGTTTCTTACTACAATTGTAATTTATCTTTTCTAATTCTTATATGTTATAATTATTTATACATATTTTTTGTTTAGATAGAATTTCTTTTATTTATTGATTTTAATAGGATTTTCAATTAGATTAGAATATT